AACTGCACTTACCGTTGCTTCCGAGACTGCGAGGTAGACCAGTAGTGTTTCACCTTCCTTTGGTTTCGAAAGTAATTGAGGGCTTGACAAGTACCTTTTCAAATCTCTCAAAGTCTGCTGGCACTCTGGGGTCCATTTGAAGTTGTTTTTCTTTTTGAGCAATGCGAAAAAATGGTGGCATTCCTCTGACGACTGGGAAATGAACCTGCCCAAAGCGGCTAATCTCCCTGTGAGCCTTTGGACTTCTTTCACGCTTGACAACTGGTCCGGGATGTCTTCGATGGCCTTGATCTTATCGGGGTTTACCTCAATCCCCCTTTGTGATACCAAAAATACTAGGAACTTGTCAGAGTTGACCCTGAATGCGCATTTCTCGGGGTTAAGCTTCATGTTATGCTTTCTTAGGATATCAAAGGTTTCTTGCAGATGCTTAAGGTGGTCACCTGCATTCAAAGACTTAACGAGCATATCCTCTATATAAACTTCCATAGTTTTCCCTATTTTTTTTTCAAACATCTTGTTTACAAGCCACTGATAAGTGGCTCCGGCGTTCTTCAACCCGAAGAGCATCATATTATAACAATATCTGCCAAAATTCGTTATGAACGAAGTCTTTTCCTGATACTCCGGGTTTATCTTAATTTGGTTGAACCCGGAATAAGCATCGAGGAAACTCATTAACTCTTACCCGGTCAGCATATCAATCATTTGATTTATGTTTGGTAGTGGGAACGAGTCTTTCGGGCATGCCTTACTCAAGTCCTTATAATCTACACACATGCGAAATTTATTGTTCTTCTTAGGAACTACTACTACATTAGCTAGCCAGTCTGGATACTTTACCTCTCGGATCGAACCGATATCAAGCAAGCGAGTTACCTCTTCTTTGACGAATTTATTTCTGGCCTCCGCAATAGGGCATTTCTTTTGTCTTACCGGAGGGATGTTGGGATCCAAACTTAGCTTGTGTATGGTCACCTCCATCGGGATACCTTTCATATCTGCATGCGACCATGCAAAATAATCAGCATTAGATTTAAGAAATTCAATAAAGCCAGACCTCAGCTCGGGATTCAGTCCTATCCCCAAGTGGAATTTCCTTTCTAAGAACTTTTCAAACAATGCAACTTGCTCGAGCTCTTCCTCCGTGGATTTTGTTGCATTCTTTTCTTGTTGTACCTAGAAATATATTGGCACCAGATAAGATTCCGACGCTTCTACCCTCGGGCTAACCTTATTCGATTCGGGAGCGGGCGCCAGTTCCTGTAGTTGCTATGCCACGTGCTTCTTTCCTTTGCTACTGAAAATCGAAATCGCATTCATCTCCCTTGCCGCTGGTTGGTCACCCTTTATTTGTCTGATTCCTTCGAGCGTTGGAAATTTCAGTAGCTGGTGATATGTTGATGGTACAACTCTCATCTGGTGCAACCATGGTTTTCCCAGAATAATAATATATTCCATATCACCATCCACCACTTCAAAAAGATTTGTTTTCATCACTCCTTCAGCATTCGTGGGCAACAAAATCTCTCCTCGGGTTGTCACGCTTGCGAGGTTGAATCCAGCGAGGAGTTTTGTGGCCGGAATGATGCTTCCGGTGAGTTTAGCTTGCTCCAATACTCTCTATTGTATTATATTGGCCGAACTCCCTGTATTTACTATAACACGTTTGATTTTAAAGTCTAGCACATTTAACAAAATTACCAATGCGTCATTGTGTGGTAATAACAATCTGTCTGCGTCCTCCTCCGTGAAAGTGATGTCGTCTTTAGCAACCTTCCTGAGTCTCTTTCTATGGTTTATTGATACTTTCGTCTTTTTTGTTGCCGAGAAGGTGTTCCTGTTGATCTCGTTCCCCCCGAAGATCATGTTGATCGTCTGGCGTGAGAGATATTCTCCTTCTTTTGAGGGTTCCGCAGTATCCCGATTGCGATATTAGTGATTTTTGGCCCGGTCACTTAAGAATTCTCTGAGATGACCATTCTTCAATAGTGTCGCCACTTCTTCCCGAAGATGTCAGCAGTCCCCAGTCCGATGGCCATTCGTCTTGTGGTATTCACACCATAAGTTGGGATCCCTCTAATTGGGATCAGATCTTATCGGCTTTGAGAACCGTGCTTCTTTGATGTTTCTCTTAGCCGATACCAAATCTACTACGCTGACATAGAAATTATATTCTGAAAGTCTGGGATAAGAAGGATCCCGCGTACCAGACGCTTCTTTGTCCTGCAACGATCTATTGTTCCGACCATGATCAGTCCTTGTATCGGTAGAGAACCAGTCTGCTGACCAGAAGCCTCTACCGCGGCCTTCGGTCCGTTCGTAGGGCAAAAACCAGCCCCTCGAAGACTATCTGTCAGTGTCGAAATCATCTTTTGATATTTCTTTATTCTTCTCTCATCCTTTTGCCGACGACGGAAAGTCAACCTGATCATCTTCGATCCTTATCTTCGACTCGTACCGGTTGTGGACATGCGCCCAAGTTGTTGCTTGGAAATCAAACAAGCTTTTCTTCATTTTCCGGGAAGCGACTGAACTTCTCTGATTCAGGCCCTTGGTGAATGCTTTAGCCGCCCATTCGTCCAGAACAGCTGGGAGCAACATCCTCTCCTTTTGGAGTCGGGTAACAAACTCTCGCAGCAACTTGGATTCTCCTTGTGCAATTCTAAATATGTCGGCCTTCCAGGCCTGTACCTTTCTGGCCCCGGCATGAGCCTTAACAAAAGAATCTGCAAGCATCTCAAAAGAATCTATGGAATGCTTGGGTAACAATGAATACTACGTCAAGGCTCCCCTCGTGAGAGTCTCTCCAAAAGTTTTCAGCAAATCAAATTCAATCTCGTGGGGAGCTAAATCATTCCCCTTCACCGCCATTGTATAGGTGGTAATATGCTCCTGAGGGTCTGAAGTTCTATCATACTTTGGTACATCGGGCATTTTAAGCCGCTTCGGGATTAATTCTCATGCCATACTTGGTTTGTATGGCAACTGAGTATATTTCTTTGAGTCCGGTCCTTTCAGCACCGGTGGTGCACCCGGGATTCGGTCCATGTGGGCATTCACTTCTCTCATAAACTATAAGAGTTCATTCTTGGAGGGATAGTTTTTGTTATTGGGGTCGGATCTGATCCCCCCCAGCCCCATCGGAACCAACTTAGCCCTTCGGGGTGTTTTTATCGACCCTCTGTGTTGTTTGATTTGCGGGAGCACCGGGAGGAACTAGATCTAGTTTATTTGCATTATTGGAAGCCCACGATAACGCCTGCTTCAACTCCGTCATAACCTTATCATGTCGTGTGAGATGGCCTAGAATGATTACTTGTTGCTCTTGTAGGATCCTTACCGCATCAACAACATGGTCATCTTCACCATCATTGGGAGCTGCCTCCCGAACATGTCGTGGGTACCGCCTGTCACGGATCGACGTGGTATCATTCCCCTCATTATGGGTGTCACTGATTGAATCCTCGAAATGAGGTTGGTCTCCTTGAACCTCAGGATTGTGTGTGTTGTTAACATCGTTATCTGCCATTTCTTATGGTTTTTGCTAAGACAAATAATCAAAACACGTTAGTAAAAGAGGCAAGGATCAACTTAATTACACGGCTATCTAGGCCCCACAGTGGGCGCCAAACTGTTTACCTGTAAAATGGTACAATTGAATTTATATGTAGTTTCTAGACAAGTGAATTAATTTGATCATGAAATAATAAAATAATTAAAGAAATGTGCAATACTTAGTCTTGAAATGAAGATGAAATCACGAAAACAGTAATTCCGGGGGCAGAGCTTCCGGGCACAACAGTGATGAAACCAAAGAACAAGAAAGTAAAATTGTAGAAAGCTTTTAATCGATTATAATGTAAGTTTGCCAGAAAAGTCGTCCCGTTACAATGGTAATAGAGCTCACTACTTATAGTTACACCTAGGGAATAAGGACCTAGGTTCAAGTCCATCTTCAATACCAATTATGAGGGTCATTGAAGAATGTGTAACGGCATGTATGAATGCCATATCTTTTTGTAACGGGTAGTGCACTAAATGTTGTCGAATATTCCCCATTAAATGCTACCGGACGGAGGGTATTTATTGCTTCTTTATGAGTGTCATTCCTTCCGGTAACTAACGGGATAATTGTCTTTGGTTCTAATTGTCCCCCGTCTTAAGTTACACGTATTACTCTCTTAAGTGGCCACTTAGCATAGCGTATTTTACCGTATACAATAGCGTGACCAAATATTTTAAATTTTCTCAAAAAAAATAAAAAGAAATTCCTGATAATTTTCATCATTTCCATGAAACCTATGCACGTAAATGGGAGGTAAAACTATAGAAATAAGTAAAAAAAAAAATAGATACTATTTACTAACAATTAGTCATTAAGTCATGTTATAAAAATTAGCAGAAAAAATTATCAATGACATACAATATTGGGAAAAACCCTAAAAAAGTAAAGATGTACCATGATGCCAAATGTAGCATCTTCCGCGACCTTTATGAGCAACAACATAAGCATTGTTCACTGTGTGAAACATGTATCTCTATATATGGGATACACATTTGCTATATACGGGATACACAGATGATCCACGAGTAATATACAGTGGATATATATTTTATCTTATACTTCAAATTTTTAATTAAACCCATCTCAAAAGTTCATCAAATCGTCCAAAAATTGATATTGAAACTCCTTAAGATATACTAATAAATCTATTTTAAATTTCCAACAATACCCACTAAAACAAATTTCAATTTCGGAAAACAAGATACTCCCTCTAATGCACAAGAAACAAAAATGTGAATTTTGATCTTTTGCAAAAGCACAGCCACAAGTGGGCAGTGTCATACTATTTTCAGCAGATTTCACATTAATTGAGCTAAAGAAGACTAATTAGATTTAACTTTTTGCATTTTCCCTGTAGCTGCTACAGAAGTTACTAATCAACTAAAAACAAAAGTGCACCTAATATATGAAAGAAATGCAACAAAAGCATCACTAACTAGAACAAACTAGTGCTCCATTTGTTATTAAACATTATGAAAACTAGCACAAGAAGTGGAAAAGCTCCACTACCGGTCTACCATATTACAGATTACAGGCAAGACAGAGCATATTGTCAATGCCTTTATTTCATACATAGACTACATATTATTAGTTAGGACTTAGGAAACAGCAACCTTAGACTTCTGGAGATCATTCTCCACTTCACGAACATATTCATCCACTTTGCTTACGTATTCAGATTCTCCTTCACAAATAAAAGTTCCATTAGCACTGAAATAGTTGCAGCCCTTCATGCCTGCACAACAATTGGTACATATTTGATTATTTTTCTTTTCTTCTGAACGTGGACAAACTCCATAGGCAATTCTTGGATCACAATTTCGGGGACAAGCTTTTGGATTTCTAGGATCAGACTCTCCTTTACAAACAAAAGTTCCATCAGCACTGAAATAGTTACAACCCTTCGTGCCTGCGCAACAGTTGGTGCATATTTGATTGTCCTTCTTTTCTTCTGAAAGTGGGCAAAGTCCGTAGGCAATTCTTGGATCACAATTTAGGGGACAAACTTTTGGATTTCTAGGATCAGACTCTCCTTTACAAACAAAAGTTCCATCAGCACTGAAGTAGTTACAACCCTTCTTACCTGCGCAACAGTTGGTGCATATTCGATTATCCTTCTTTTCTTCTGAAAGTGGACAAAGTCCATAGGCAATTCTTGGATCACAATTTCGGGGACAAGCTTTTGGATTTCTAGGATCAGACTCTCCTTTACAAACAAAAGTTCCATTAGCACTGAAGTAGTTACAACCCTTCGTGCCTGCGCAACAGTTGGTGCATATTTGATTGTCCTTCTTTTCTTCTGAAAGTGGGCAAAGTCCGTAGGCAATTCTTGGATCACAATTTAGGGGACAAACTTTTGGATTTCTAGGATCAGACTCTCCTTTACAAACAAAAGTTCCATCAGCACTGAAGTAGTTACAACCCTTCGTGCCTGCGCAACAGTTGATGCATATTCGATTGTCCTTTTCTTTTGAAAGTGGGCAAAGTCCATAGGCAATTCTTGGATCACAATTTCGGGGACAAGCTTTTGGATTTCTAGGATCAGATTCTCCTTTACAAATAAAAGTTCCATCAGTACTGAAGTAGTTACAACCCTTCGTGCCTGCACAACAATTGGTGCATATTTGATTGTTCTTCTTTTCTTTTAGACGTGGGCAAACCCCATAAGCAATTCTTGGATCACAGTTAAAGGGACAAGCCTTGGCATGTGCATGTTCCACATTGCTTACAAGCAGAGACATTCCTACAACATAGCCAAAATAATTACCTTATGAGTGTTGCACAATGGATTCAAGTAATAGGGTAAGGGAGAAACTTAAAAAAAGGGAAATACATAAAATCCTCCTTACAAGTAGTCTGTTTAAACCAGTTAGAACCTTCAATTATGTAGGAGTCTTATTATCCTCGTGAACTAGTTTGAAGTGATACTATTACCTCCACACAACGCCCAAGGCGAATTTACATGGACAACTGTGGGTATTCAAACACCCATTACTTTTGACCATATTTAATAAATTTGCTTAGGTAATTATAAAAATATTTAAATAAATATTGAGGAATCACCCGCAACTAAACTCATTTTTCATTTTCTTTTAGATTTTTTTACGGGCGAGCACTTAAAAGAGAGTGAGATGAGAAAATATGTCTGAAATTTTATCTTTTTCAGCAATTCTTTTGTTTAATTTTTTTCACTTCTTAAATTCTTTTATTTTTATTTTTTTTATAATCATTTATTTTCTCCATCCTTAGTCATATACCTCCCACAGTGCACACACGGAACACATCCTCAGGGGCATAAACGCACAAGTCACCAACACCCAAGGAGTCTCCAGCGAAAGAGATGAAGGAGAGACCAAAAAGTAAAAGAAAAAAGAATAAAATAAGGTTAAAAAAACCAACAAAAAAGAAAAAATTAAAGATCAAAGATTTTTTTAATGAAAATGACATATGGCACCAATTACCATATTTATTAAAACAAGAATTAGCCAAGAAAAAAAATAATAATACCACTTCAAGCGAGTTCAGGGGTAATAGGACTCTCGCACATTTAAAGGTTATAACGGAGTAAAGCGGACTATTTTGAGGGGATTTTTATATATTTTCCCTTAAATAAAGCTAAAAAGAAAAGCCTTACCAAATAAGAGGAGGAGAGCAAGGAAACTAACTCTGTGAACAGCCATAACTTACTATCTCCTGAGTTTACTGTTTTTCTTTTTGAGGATGGAGAGTGTTATCTTATGCATCTATTTATAGCAGATGAGCCATCTAATAAAACAACACATGAGAATGACTTGACATCGAGCCATCGAAGACGACTTTGTTTCATTTATATAATGTAAATACACATGGCTTTCATTTCCTGGTGCCCATGAAAAACAATCCTTTGAGTATTTTTTAAAAACTGTAAGTTATTTGATGCAAATAATAACCAAAACAATATGTAGTCATTTTTAGATCAATTTCAAAAGAGTTAGTGCCCTAAAACTCGCTTAAACTATACAACTTTTATGAGTTGCCTACCTAAACTATCGCATGTCCCCAAAAACTCTTGAACTATATCCCCTTCAAATAAAACGCTTTCGTCACTTATGTGGCATAATGAGTGTAATAAATTGCCAGAGCGCATGACGGCTGAAAAAAGCCATTGAAATGGCTCACGTGACAGTGTTTAATGGCTAATTAGCCTTTCTTTTTTAAATTTTTTTTTTATTTTCTCTTTTTTTCTTTATATTTCACCTTCCTTCCTCTTCCTTTTACCTTTCTTTTTTATTTTTTCACCTTTCTTCTCCATTTCTTCATCTGAATACATATAAAATTCTCTCTCTTGTCAAAACCCTAATCTTCTATACCGATTCAAGAGCAAAAGCCTAGTTTTTATTTCGATTTTCGAACAGAGGTAAGAATAGACAAAGCAACTCAGGTTAGAACCAAGATTAATGGAGAAAATCGCTACTGAGAGAAGGTGTAGCCATTCTCCGATGAGAGCAAAGTCCCCAATGAGAGAATTCTTTGCCAATTGACCCACTACTTTTAACCTAGCCCTCTTTTATATTTTTATTGTGTAATTTTGTACAATGATATAATAAAGAGTATTAAAGTCTTAATTAAGTCTATTTTTTAGATTAAGCTAAACAAATATCCACGTAGATTGTCACATGACAGATTTTAAAAATAATTTGGAGTATGTATTATACACACTAGAAAGAATACAATGATGGAGTTTTTTTATCAAGGGGGATATAGTTTAGGAGATTTTGGGGGACATGCGATAGTTTAGATAGGCAACTAACAAAGATTGTATAGTTTAGGTGGGTTTTAGGGTATTAACTCGTTTCAAAAACTACTATTGTGTTGTTTCGGTTTCTTCTTTTATTTTTCCTTGAGTCGAGATCTACTAGAAACAACTTCTCTATCTTCACAAGATAGAATAAGGTTTAGGTTACATACTATCCTTTCCAGACTTCATTTTTATGGGATTATAGTGGATGTGTTGTTGTTGATTATCGACTAAACTTCGCTTTATATTTTATTGAAAGCCTCTGTTATACTACTCATCAAGTTTGTAAAAGGAACTTTGGTCGTGACTTGCTTTATAATGGGGCTTTTGCATCTATACCTAGTTTTGAGGTCACGATTGAACATATACTCACTTTGTAAAAATAATTGCAAGCCTACCCACTTTACAATCAACTTTAGAATTATCGGGTTTGAAGTTAAAAAAATTAGTGTAAAGTGAAAAAATTATACTTCAGAGGCACTTAAGGCCAAATAGGTCTGAAGTGGAACCAATGGTTTCATGCACTTAAGGCCAATAAGTCTGAGGTGAAAAATTGTACTTTAGATCCACTTATGGCCAAAAGGTCTGAAGTGCAACAAACGTTTTCCTTCACTTAAGACCAATAAGTCTGAAGTGAAAAATTGCACTTCAGATGCACTTAAGGCTAAATAGGTCTAAAGTGTAACCAAGGGTTTCATGCACTTAAGGCCAATAAGTCTAAAGTAAAAAATTATACTTCAGATGCATTTAAGGCCAAAAGGTCTGAATTGCAACTGACGTTTTCCTACACTTAAGGCCAATAAGTCTGAAGTGAAAAATTGCACTTCGGATGTACTTAAGGCCAAAAGGTCTGAAGTGCAACCAATATTTTCATCCACTTAAGGCCAAATAGGCCTGAAGTGTAAATTGCCCAAAAATAAAAATTTGTTCTTCGAATTATCACTATTTTAAAAGGCGTTTTCGGGGCGAGCCCTAGGGCGAGGCGCACCAAAAACGCACCGGGGCGATAGTGTGGGACGAAAGTCTCAAGAGGCATACCCCCGGGCATTTGAGGCGCGTTTTTTTAGTGAGGCGTATGCACTAGAGATTTTTTCAAATTAAAATAAAATTTGTTGAATAAGTCTTCATATAATACCCAAATTTTCAAAATTCAGCTTATTAATTACTCAAAAGTTTTAAAAAGGAATTGAAATGTATTAAATTTATATGTTAAGACTTTTTTTTATTGATTGAAGTCCCAATTCATGGTCTTTTCCAATTCTTTATCTTGTCCGCTAATCTTCTAATATTTCTCAAAGCAACGAATATTCATTGTTTTTCNAATTTTACATGTTTATAAATATTTACTGTAATTATATTATTTTATAAAATATTAAAAATTAAATTCCTATTGGGCTTACGCCCCGTGCCTCGGGGCTTACGCCTTGCTGAGGCATATGTAAAATGCCTTGCCTTATGCCCACGCCTTTTAAAATACTAGGAATTATAACAATTCAATATACGATTTAATACTTAAATCTACTCCAAATCCTCATATTTGAAATATAACCTCCAAATATCATCAATAACAAACCACAATCATCAATTTATCAAAACAACAATAAATCTAACAACCCACTTTGCAATTAAGAAAAAGAAGAAGAAGAAACCCTAAGTAATAGTAAAAATAAAGTGTCATAACAGCTCACCACTATAAAACATCATAAACTACCTAAAAATATATTCACAAACACCATATAAAATCACTGTCACCTGAAGAAGAAGAAGAAGAAAGAGGAGAAAAATGTCTCGGTCTGTTTAAAAAGTGGGTAAAAGTTAAAAAATAAAATTTAAAAGTGGGTATATGTTAAATGGAGGCGACCAAATAGGGCGCTCGTGCAATTTGTACCTTTATAATAATGTATCGTGGTAAGCCCGTGGGGTTAAAAGATCACTTTTGACCCGGAGCAGAAATTATTTATATTCAGTAAGCATAAAAGTATATAAAATTTGTATATATTTTTTATATAATATAAAATATATTTTTTTGACTATTATTTTGAAATTAGCTATACGTCATTTCTCTTTGTTGAATGTGTATTTCATCCAACAAAAGGAAGTAAAATTTGTTATGCTATCTACACGTGTCCTATTCTTATTCTTCTACTGATAACCAATATACAAAGAATATCATGAATATAAAATGACAAATAAAAAGTCCCTAGACACTTCTCACGGGTAGAGAAGCTTCTAGTCCTAGGCTACCCTGGTGTATTTCTCAATATCTAATAGATGAAATTTATTGTGGGTGCAATAATGAGAAACATTACCAATTTATGGATTATTGTTTGCAACTTAAGTTTATATGATTGCATAGTAAAATCGGAAAAATTGATAAATTAATAAAAGAACGCACGGTAAAATTTCTGCTAATTTTTTTTAATTTGATTTAATATTTTAAAAACTAACTTATAGGCTGTTTGGTCAAGCTTCTAAAATCAGCTTATTTTTGAAAAATATTTTTTTTAAAAGTGCTTTTCAAAAAAAATATTTTTGGTGAGAAGCAATTTTTATTTGGATAATCTATTTGAAAAATATTTTTGAGCAATTTGGTCAAGTTTTTAAAAGTACTTTTAAGTGTATTTTTACAAAAATACTATTAAAAATTACTTTTGGAAATAAGCTACTTTTCAGCTTATCAAAAACAGTTTTCGCTTCTACTCTAAAAAAATTCTTTTGACCAAAAAATACTCTTAGAAAAAAAGAAAGCTTGACCAAATAGTATATAGGTTAGTTAGATTAAAATATTAAGAAATTGTCATTAACTGGTTTATTTTAATTTATACATAAAACAACGTCAAGACGAAGTGGTTGGGGGACAAATACAGTACAATTAAATAAATTCATTCACGTGCAAATGAGAAGTGGTGAGTAGTTATAAACCACACAAGCATGATTCATGAGAATAGATAGTACGGCATATATGTAAAAACTAGGGGCCGCAATTTTAGCCTAAATTCATTCGTTTAACTTGGGCTGGTCATAGCCGCTCATTTGAACCCAAGTAATTTTTGGGCAGATCATTTAATTCGCTCATTTATTTACTTAGTCTATTTTGACTTACCTAAAATCAGCCTAATCGTTCATTTGATACCCTTAGTAAAGCTAATAAATGAGAAAAAATAACACTTCGGTTACCCCAGTTATGATATATTCCCATTTCTGATCCTTGTAATTTTATACTAAATATATTTTCACAATCAATTAACTAAAATATATTCTTATAGTCTATTTTATCAAAAACATGTTATATTTAAATTATTTTTTGAATTATATTATCCTGAAGTATGGAGTAATAATAATACAAAATTGATATATCACATGGCTAACTAAATGGTGTAAATTAAGAACTCAACAAATTTGTGAATATTCACAAGCGTATAGGCTAAAAAGTTACACATTTTTAATTAATTGAAGGTCAAATGAGTATTTTCATATATTATAAGGATTAAATTAACAATTTTCAATATTCAAGGACTAAAGTTTCCGAAAACTAAATTCAATAAACATGAATTTTTACAAATTAATGATATTTTGTGGAGTATGTTAAGAAATGAGAGCACAATAGAACAATATACTACTGGAAGACAAAATATATATGAGGGAGAATGATTTTGTTATTTCTTTTCTTGGTGTGTTATTCATAGGGTCAAAAATTCCTTATTTATAAAGGTACAAATACATTCAAAGGTTATAAGTTAATGTACTTCCTAATTGAGTACATGAATACAAAGTACGTTAAATGGACAGACAAATGCATTCCTCTCACTCACATGCATTCATCTCATTTATAACACTCCCCCTTGGATGTCCATTTAAAAGATAAGGTGCCTCGTTAAAACCTTACTAGGAAAACCCAGTGGGAAAAAGCCTAGTGAAGGAAAAGGAGTACACATATCTTGTAATACGCATTGAGTGCTGCCTCATTAAAAACCTTATCAGGA